CGCTCAGGGCCACCAGGAGAAGGCTCAGCAGAGAGGACAGGACATGCAGCCCGTGTGCCCCTTGTGTAAGGAAAGAGAGGGGCAGTTGCTTGTGGACTTCCTGTGAATCTCGGCCTGGGCTTGCGGCAGCCCAGAGTGGATGTCGTCTGGGAGGCCAGGGGAATGGTGCCCACAGGTGCAGAAAGGAGTTCAGGGTAAGACCCCCCCCATGGGGTGGCCTCACCATGCTCTGTGGGAACAGGGCCTGGGCGCAGCTGGGAGGCCACCCGCTTCCAGTTGGTCTTGGCTAAATTCATTGCTCCACCTCGCATATTTGTGCTGGGAACAAGAATCCGAGGGCTAATCCGCAGGAAGAACAGTCGGCGTGCTGCGAAAATATTTCCCAGGCTCAGCGTGTGCACGGGGCCCTGTCCCCCGCTTGGTGACCCCTGGAGCCCGCCAGGCCCTGCTGAGCTGTTCCACGCTTGTTCTCAGCTTTACGCCAGGGGAGAGCTTTGTCCACGGCTTGGGCTCTGAGGGTATTTGGTTTCTGTCACCTCTTCACCCTTGGAACGCAGGCTATGGCCAAGGGCCATGGGCAGCACAGGGAGCTGTGAGAAATGCAGGCTCTAAGGCTGGATTTTAAACAGATTAAAATAAAAACCCAAACACCCCAAACCGGATGTGTGGTGCACACCTGTCATCCCCGCGCTCTGGGGATAGAGGCAGAGGATTGCAAAGTGGAGCCCAGCCTGGGCAAGGTAGCAACTGAGGTGTTTTTTCAGGTGAAAAGGGGCTGGGGGTGTAACTCAATGTGAAGACCCTGGGGTCCACCTCCGGTCCTGGGGTGTGGAACCCCCATCGGCTTCCTAGAGCTATGTGTGAATAGCTCAGGGCCACTCATGTAATGAACTAGAAGCTTTCTAGGCTGGAGAGCTCACTCTTCATATCTTTAGCCCCCTCACCTTGAGATTCCTCAGGCTCAATTTTTTTTTTTTTTTTTGTCTTTTTCATTTCTAACGGTACCAGGGATCGAACTCATGACTGCCTGCTTGCAAGGCAGGCACTTATGCCGTTGAGCTAAATCCCCAGCCCCCCAGGCTCAAATTTTAAGCCAGGTGAGATGACACATGTCCATAATTCCTGCCCTGAGGAGGCTGAGGCAGGAGGATCACTGTGAGTTTGAGATCAGCCTGGGCTCCAGTTGTGAGTTCAATGTGTTCAAGACTCGACGGAACTACACAGCGAGACCCTGTCTCAACCAACCAACAAAAAACAACAATAAACAAAGACATGGTCTCAACTTTTATAGTGACTTTAGCAATTTATTAGCTTTTCTGTGTGATTCTACCTTTCCACATATCTTGAAAATAATGTCACTTGGTTTTGCCTGGTTTTGAACTCCACAGGAGTGAAGCAGCCACCTCGTTGCTTTTGCTCCCCATTTCTCTGCCTGATGTATGTCTGTGGGGGCACACGGGGTTGTGTGTAGTTGCAGTGTGTGCATTTGCATTGACAGAGAGAGCCCAGCTCGTGAATTGTAGGAGTTTGGGGGTTTTCAGTAGAAACCACCCGGGCTCTGTCTGTGAATTGCTATGGGGACTTGGGATTTTCACAGCTCCTCAGTTAGGGTGACAAGTACAAGCGCCAAGTTCAGTTGGATGTGAACCAAAGTGGTCGTCCTTCTGTTCCAGACCCTTGCCCCATCCTCCCCTTCTCACAGGAAACAAAACCCTTGCAGTGGCCGTGAAGGATCTGGGTGACCCTCCCTCCCCTCGTTGTAAGCCGCCCTTTCCTGTCCCAGGCCCAGCATACTCTCTGCTGCTCCATTAGTTCTCCAGCCCAGCCCTGCCCCAGGGCCTTTGCACTGTAGTTCCCTCTTCCAAGAGCCTCTGCCTTTGGGTCCCTGCCTTTGGATCTCCTACTCCCTGAAGCCTTGGTGACAGCCCTGTGTGAAATGCCACCTCCCATCCCAGCATTTCACCCCTCTGTCCTTCTTCACTGAATTGCATTAGGGGGTTTCTTGTTTTCCAAGCCTGACCAGAGCTCTCCCTTAGGCTGTGGGCCCATTCTGCCTGCCCTGGGGCTGCAGCAGGAGAAGATGAGCTAGACAGACAGACAGAAGGCTGCTTGCCTTCCAGTGAGACAAAAGCCTCTCCCTCACAGGGTTCCCCTCCAGCTCCTGCTCTCCTCGGAGGTGTCTGTACCTGTATGCCCCGCAGTCTCCCCTTCTTATGACTTTCTGTTGTCCCCTCACCCCCAACCTGCTCCTCCCCAGCCAGAGAACTGTGAGGGACCCGTGACCCCGTGTGGTGTGGCCAAATCAGAGGTCGAGCTGGTCCTCTGCATCCCGTGCCCAGGGCTGCAGGCCAGGCAGTCCCCCTTCCTCCAGTGCCCCCTGCCTGCTCCATGAGGGACACTCTCTGCAGGCCCTTCTGGGCTGGACAGCACCCGATGTGGGGCCTTGTGGTCCAGATGTTCACAGCAACACCCTCCCCACCCCTGCTCTGAACTGAAATGTGCAGGTGGCCATCATGTGCAGGGGTAGGAGCCACTGTCACAGCCCCATGCAGCCAGAAGCAGGAGGCCGGGGTGGGGGACAAACTGCAAAGCTCCACACACAGGATGATGACAGCTGTCTACATGGCAGGTGCTGGGCATTGAGAAAGGCTGCTTCTGCCAGAGGGGTCCAGGGAGGACCCACAGGTGCAGGTGATAGGTGTGTCCTCAGCCAGTGCCAAGCAGTGGGAATTTGGGGGTGTACTTCACACTGTGCACTTAGGTTGTATGCCTTAGCTTACCTGTCCTCACTTCAGCCTCCCGCTGTTCACCACCTGCTCCCTGCAGAGCCGTCCTGTTTCAGGTCCTCAGGTTAAGCCCTACATACCTAACCCTGCCGCAGCTTCTCATGTCCTCTGGTGTGAACCCCAAGTCTCGACCACAGTCCTGCTGTCCTGGCAGGCCAGCTTGGCCACTCACTGTGTGCTTTCTTATGGCTGGCTCCACCCCATCTTGCCTGGGGGGCTCAAGGGTGAGGCCAATGCTGAGCCTCCCATGGGGTTACACCCCCTTCCCTCCAGCACCTGTGGTCCTCCTCATTCTGTTCTGTTGTTATCATAGCTCCAGCCCTTTCTTCTAACATTCATAAGAAGTATGGATGACCATTCTCAGAGGACAGGTCCCCCCAGAGCCCAGGGATTCAACCTGATTGAGAAAGAGGGCCTGTGCAGTAGAAGTAAAGTGAGATCATCCTGGACTAGAGAGGGCACAAAATCCAATGACAAGGAGAAGAGACAGTAATGGGAAACTGAAGACAGACTGGATGTGTCTATGAGCCACACAATGGCAGGATCACCAGCAGCCTCTAGGAGCCGTGAGTCAGGTGTGGAGCCTGTTATGGTTTGTGTCTAGGTGGCCCCCCAATCCTCATGTACTCATGGAGATGGCTGAATTGAATGTTTGTGATTGGTTTGTTGTCTAGTGCTGGGATTAGTGGAGTGAGTGCTACGCCTGCCCAGGGGAAAAGCTGACATATATATACATATATACATATATATATATATATATATATATATATATATATATATATATAGTATAAGGGAGGAAAGTAGGCATGTTTTCCTCTTTTGCCCTGTTTACTGTTGCTGTTTGCAGCTGCCATGAACAGCTGCCCCTGTGCCACACCACCCTGTCTTGGAGCCAGCTTTATGGACTGAAACCTCCACAAATTATAAGAAATAAACCTTTCCTTCATTCATGATGGGTGTCAGGTATTTTGTCTCAACAATGAGAGAAATGTAACCAAGACAGAGCCCAAGTCCCTTAGTTCCTGCAGAGGGCACCCACCCTTGACTTTGCACTCTTGGCCCCTGTAACCTGCAGAGAATAAATTTCTGTTATCTTAAGCTACCAGCGACAGTAACTTGTTGTAGCAGCCCAGGAAACATACACATATCATACAGTTTATTATTACTTTTTATTTCATACTTCTTTCCCCGTACGCCCCAGGAGAGCGCATGTAGTTATTCTGCTCCTGGTGTATTTCAAATACCTAAGCCTACAACTTAGGCTCTGTGCCTGACACAGCACCAGCACAGAGCCTAAGCTGGAACTGATTTTACTGTGAATCCAGGATTTCCTGAGCATCAGTCGAAGCAGTCTGCAGTGCGGCTGTGCAGGCAAGCAGGTCATGCACCCTCATGCGTTCGGCGTCCTCCTGGAGATGGGTGTGGGAGTCTCAAACCCTGTTGCTGATTGGGAGAGGCCAAACTTACAGGTTCATTGCAGGTTCCGTCTGGTGAATGCAGAAATGGCAGTGAAAGCTCTTGGTGGTGGTCACACAGTCACTGCATGTGCCTGATGCCCTCTGAAGTGGGTGCACGAGTTCGTATGTGAATTGGACCTCAGAAAGGGGATAGCGCGGCTCAGGTACCTAGAGCAGCACAGTAATCACAAGTCCCGGGCCGGGCCCAAAAGTGTGTGGCAAGAATGTCTGAGAAGAGGGAGCAGGAGATAAAAAAACCAGGACAGCTGACAGCAGATAGCGGCTGGTGCGGGGAGCTTGGCAAGGAGGCGCCCACTGGCAGACGATGCTAAGGGATTCACAAGCGACTTCACGAATGACCACTGCTCCTGGGCCTCATAGAGCCTGGGGACGCTGCATCGCAGGTGACCCTAGTGGCTGCATGCTTCCCACACCTCCCACTGACTCCTCCCTGTCTACCTGTGCTTTCCTTTAAAATGGGCTCACTATGCAGGTGTAGTAGTTACTCATTAAAGTATTTAAAGGTTCCATTGAATATGATCAGAGATCAAACTTTTTAAAAAGCTTAGCTGGATGTAATGGCATACACCTATTATCCTAGCACTTGGGAGGCTGAAGCAGGAGGATCCCTGCTAGTTTGAGGCCAGCCCTGACTACATAGTGAGTTCAAGGCCACCCTGTACTACATAATAGACCCTGTTGCAAAAAAAAAAAAAAAAAAAAAAAGGAAAGAAAGAAAAAAGCAAGAGAAAAAGAAGAAAGGCTTTCAAATATGTAATATGGAAGCAGACTAGGGATTTAGCTCAGCGGCATAAGCACCTGCCTTACAATTGCAAGGTTGTGAGTTCGATCCCCGGTACCGATAAAAAAAAAGAAATGTAATACAGGAAGGAAAATGATGTAAAATGTTCGATAGCACAAGAGCTGACAGGAGCCAGAGAGACACGAGAGAGAGGGCCTTCTGACCATCCTAGGTCAGGCCCCAGGCAGCCCTGGGTGACAGTGCTTCTAGGTATGGACCCAAGGTACAGGCCAGCAGCCTGGCCCTAGTGGCTCTCAAAGGCATTGTACTGGTTAAACTCCCACATGCTGTCCTCCTGCAGGCTGGGTGCAGGTGCAGCCCTGGGCGGGGTGTGAACTTGGGTGGGGTGGCCCTCATGAACCTGTCACAGCCTGCTGCCACCAGCAGCCCTGAGGAGTGAGTGGTGATTATTAAGCACACAGCAGCAGGCAAGGCCAAGGCCAAGGCCAGGCCAAGGTGGAGAGTCCAATGGTGAAGGTCCTGCAAGCTGCCCTTAGGCCCAGGAGGCCACCGTGTACACAGATAGCAGTAGATAGTGCAGGCCTAGGCCACCTTGGGGCCTCTGCCCTGCATGCCCTCTGGGACCACAGCTCAGCAGGAGGGTGGGATGGGGGCCACCATGCCACAGGGACTGTGCCCCAGAGGAGCCCCAGAGGCTTTGGTGGCTTTAGTGGGCTCTGTCCCGAGCTCTTCAGACCCTCATTGGAAACCCCCCATCCTGGGTCCGACCACCAGCATCGCTCACATTAGCAGGGGGAGGAAGACTCCACCATCTCAGTAGACTTGGAAAAGGCATTTGAGAAATTCTATACAAGGTCGGGTCTCCTGTGTTGCCCATGGGGCCCAAAACTCCTGGCCTCCACTGTTCCTTGTTTTGGCTTCCCACGTAGCTGGGGCTACAGGCCGGCACAAAGCCATTTAAAAAATTCATAGAAGCTTTTAGTGAACTAGGAATAGAAAAGAACTTTCTGAATGGGATGCAGAGCATTGCAGACATCGTCCTGATTGTTAAATTATTCAGGGCTCCCCCAGATGCGAGGCATGGATATCCTCTGCCACCGCTTTTATTCAGCATTGGACTGGAAATCCCAGACTGAGAGGCGTGGCAAGAGAACAAAGGGCTCAGCCTCTTGTGATCTGGAACTGGGACCCTGGGCCTCGTGGGGGCCCCAAAGACACTGCTGAGAGCCCAAAGAGAAACTCGAAGAGGAACAGTTTTCCAGCCTCGGGGATATGACGCGGAGGACCAGCAAAGCAAACCCAGCGCTGCTTCGCAGTTATTCCCACTTCCTCATTATAAGGAGCAACAGACTTGCATGGGAAGCAGAGGTTCAAGTTCATGGATGCTGGAGGGAGCCTGGGCCCCGAGTCTGAGCCTTTGGGTAAGCACACAGGGCTGTTCTGTCTACTGTTCAGGAGCAGTTGTGGCTCAGCCATGTGAGGCTGTAGTCTGAAATGCCAAACCGGGTTTGCAGGGTTTGTGCTAGAAGCCGGGCAGGGAGGCGCACACCTGGAGTGCCAGTGCTGGGGTGTCTGGCCAACCTGGGCTACAGTGAGCTCAAGGCCAGCCTGAACTACATTGTGAGACCCTGTTCCAACCCCCATCGAATTCTATCACTCCCCTGGGAGCATGCTAGGATCCACTGTCTTTGTCTCTGTGTGCCCAAGGTCCCATATCATTGCCCAAAAAAAGTTCCATGTCCTCATCCGGGTCCCTTTCCCAGCCACAGGAGCACGATCAGCTCAGACACACCTGGTGCTGGTGTCACTGTCCCAGGAGCCCTTTACTTCATGTACTGGGGCCTGGTGGACACCCCAAGCCTCCACACGCCACACTCTCTACCCTTTTCCTGCCTGCGTCCTGCTGCCTGGGTTGATTCCCACACTGAGGACTCAGACCCAAAGCCTTCCTAGACCGGGGGTCAGAAGAGGCCCTGCATCTGCACGTGAATGCCGGTCAGTACTGACAGAGCTCCACAGCTCCAGCAAGCAGGCATGGATAAACTGAGCCACACAGCTGGAGCTGTCACCAAAACTCTCCCCAGGACTGGGAAGCAGAAAGAGGGCCCCAGGCTCGAAGTAGGATTCCCTGGACTGTTTCCCCAAAAAACTGCCCTGGCACAAACCCTTAGGGCCCACACTTTCGAAAGCAGTCCCATCCAAGACTTCCATCAGAGAGGTTCCATGAAGTTTCGTCAGGCCGCTCACCCTAGCTGTAATCCTGGTTTATAGCATCTTTTCTTTATTTCCTTTCCAATTTGAACCCAGGGCCTGCATATTGAGCTATATTTTAGCCTACTTGATTACTACTTTATTTACTTTCGAGACAGGGGATCACCAAGATGCTGGCGGGGGGGAGGGCCTGGAATTTGTGACCCTCCTGCCTCAGCCTCCCACACTGTCGGGATTACAGGCATGTGTCAGCACACCTGGTTTCTCATGCTTTTAAAAGATGAGTGGAAAAAAAAAAGATGAATGAGGGTTGGGGATGTAGGTTGGTGGTGGGGTGCTTGCCTGACAGGTACAAGGCCCTGTGTTCCATCCTCAGCACCCCAAACACAACGAAGAACATGAGATGAGCCTGCTTTTGCTTTCGAGGCGTGGCTTCCAGAACTTGGCTTGCTGTGGTTTCCAGAAGTTAGGTTTCTGTTCCAAGTGACTGCTCATGAAAATCTATCTCCTACACGGTTAACCTGATGGTGGGGCTCTTGCTGCTTTTGAAATTTCTGAAGGATGTTCATAGCCCAATTTTACTTGGTCTAACAGCAGGGGCTCATCAACCTTTAAAAGTTAGGTGACATGTCTCGTTCCAAAGGAGGCGAAGCCATACTTCATGCTCTGGAGAGCCTTTTGGCTCTTAAGACACCCATTCACTCACTCCTTTGTTCATGCTAAACGAGGCGGCAGCCCTTGCTGGGGAGCCGGTGACCTGGAGTGTAGGGTGCCAGGGATCCTCCACTAGGATTCCTTCTGGAAGGCTGAGGTTGGTGCACTTTCCCTCAGGAAATTCTGTAATATTTTCTTCTAAGAGGTGCTGCAAATTTTTTAAGTAGTCACCGAATTCTATCACCCAAATATGAACAGGAGCAGGGCCAGCTCTTGCCTCTGAAAAGCTCACACAAGTCACACAGCATCTTGAATTTCGAATGGCACAACTCCAGGGCACGGGAGTCCACATGTGAGCAGGGACTGTGCCAGGTTCTGGCAGTCTGATGGGTGCATCTAAAGCAGCAGGCACTGGAAGGTTAACATCTAAGTCCTTTTCAGTTTCAAGAATGGAGATAAGTGTGCCAGGCTTTAGCAAAGAGAATTACATTTTGTATAGAGCAATTATGAGCTTTGTAAGACACAAGCAAAGGATCATTTGAACATTTCACAGTCTTAAAATGTAATTATGCAGGACAGAAATAAACACTTGAGCGTCCAAAGACCACATAACAAGGCTTTCCATTCTGCGTTTGTTGGCAGAAGTCTGAGCCAGGATGCACTCAGCAAGTCTTTGCTTTTTAGGTGAAGGCAGCTCAGGGCACCGACTTCTAGCTCAGGGCATCCCAGTGACCCCAGATGACACAAAGGGACCCCTTCGGTGATGTGAGATGAACCCTACAGCCGGGAAACAACTGAAGGAAAGAAATCCAAATTTAAAACTGTATTCTGCTGAGGGAGCTGAGATAAAGAACCACCAGAAGCACCTGAAAGTGTTGCTTTGTCCCCAGATGCATCCCGTTCACCTTTGGGGCTTTATGTTTCCAGAAATACTCTGAAGTTGCTATTGGACAAGTGGAACGCACCAGAGTATTTCAGCGTTCTGACCAAATCCCAAGTAGAAATTGTTTCCGGGAATATGGGTCTCCTTTCCATTCCACCTTCCTCATGCCTGCCTGTGCCCAGAGAGGCACAGGTGTGTTTCAAGACTCGCGGAGCCTCAAGCTGGAATCACCTGGGCATCTAGGTCCACGGGATGGAGGGGCCCAGCCAGGGCACTGTGTCAACCATGAGACCAGGACGAGGCCAGAGCCTGCGACACCCTCAGGGACACAGGACTGTTGAGCCGTTCCTGACGGAGATGAGGAGTAAGTGAGGAACTACTGCTGACTTCTTAGTGGACTGGTCCCTCTTTTCTGATGCCTTCATTTTCCTACCACCACCTCCCTCCCTTCTTTCCTCACTGCTGCTTCAAAAGTTTAATGTATAGCTCACAAGAAAAAAGAACACATTCAATCCTTGTATTAAAAGCGTGAATAGAAACGAGATTGACGCTTTGCTCAGGAAACTCTTTGCCCAGAGTGGTATGACCCCATCTCTGTTCTGTAGGAAGCGTGGGGCATCAGGAAACAGTTGTGCAGTGCGCGCTTCACTCCGGAGCACCGGGCTGCTCTGGCATTGTTCTGTCTGCCCTCGTGGTGTTACTGCATCTGCCAAGTGTGATTTCTAACCATGCCATTAATCACTGAGAGACAGCAGGACCATTGGATAGCTAACCGCAGCCTCCCCACTACGTCACCCAGGTGCACAGAGATCAACCTCAACTGAGTCCCAGCTGAAGCCTGCCACGGACGGCAGGTGGAGTCTAAGCTTAAGCAGAGTTCTCAACAAGGAGCTTGAGTGTTCTGGAAATAAATCCAAAGACCACATCCACTCTGAGTCCAGACACTCAACTGGAGAAGCAGAGGTGGATCTGGTGCCTCTGGCTGCCAGGATGTCAGCGGCTTGGCTCACCAGCAGCTCCTGGCAGACATAGGAACAAGGATGGGGACAGAGACAGAGACAGAGGTGGGGGCCCAATCCTCACATCCCTGCTGTTATTTATTTTTTTTGGGTACCGGGGATTGAACTCACGACCTTGTGCTTGCCAAACAGGCGCTTATGCCACTAAGCTAAATCCCCTGCCCTCTGCTGTTCATTTTAACTGATAAAAAGGCTGCATGTGATAGAAGTATTCACATTTTCAATCAAATCACAGAATTTTTAATGGTTAAACAGGGTACAGACTTAAGTATTAAAAATAAGATTTGTAGTAACTATCTTTAAGAACTCTAGTATTTATCTTTACCTCTGGGGAATGGACAAGTACAGATGTTGGAGTAACCTAACATTTACTAAAAGACACCCTCTTTATTCTAAAGCAGACGGGTAGGAGTCTTTTCTCTACACCCCCTGTACTGTAGAGTCCTCGCCATCCTGGGGCAGGACGGAGCAGGGACGCGTCGGTGACATCCGGCTGGGATCGTTACAACAGGAACTTGAGTTCTAAACAGTGGAAGCCAAATCTGAACATCAGAAAAATGAGGAGGAAAAACATGACATGCTGTGCCAGAGATGGCGTGTCGTCCACACTGGGTATCCCGTCTTCAATCCTCAGGTTCATATCTGGAGAGAGATGGGGGAGTCATGACCCATTGTGGTTAGGGTTGTTACTGTCTTTACCGAGTGAATGAATGATGGTAATCCCTCACTGTCCCCTCCCCATCCCTGCCCCTGCAGAGCTCAGACACACATGGAACCCTTGTGGTGACCAGAGGAGACTCACACAATAGCCAGCTGAGCTTACTGGGACTCTGTCATCATGCATGCAGTGCGATCACCTCCACCCTCGGACCCCCACGGACAGTGGGCACAACCCAGTGAGTACAGCAGTAACGACACCCCTACGCTGAGGACAAACCTGACCATCCATTCCAGGAACCTTCGCATCCTGGCTGTCTTCCCCCAAACTCTGACCATGCAAAGATGCTAAATGTGTCTCCAGCTGACTGCACCTGGTCTGTGATGGTCCCAGTGTCTGGGAGGGATGTGGTAAAGGCCCAGAGCAGCCCAGCCCACTGCTGCTGCTGTCCCTCCTGCGAGGCTCCGCTCTGGTGGAGCGCCCAAGCTGCCCTGGGGGGCACTGGGGCCGGGCCAGGCTTCGGGGTCCTCAGATGGAGGCCCTGGGTGAAATGACCGGCAGCCACTCGAGGCCACAGCCCGCCCCTCAGGAGGACACACACCGCCCTGTGGGGACAGAAAGCCCGGGCCAGACGCGGGCGTACTTGGCCAGCTTTCTCCGCAGCTCTTTGATCTGGTCATTCTTCTTGGTGAGCATCTCTTTCAGGTTCCGGTATGCTGCGGTCTGCTGGAACTTCTTCTCCAGCTCCTGCTTAAGACAAAAACGTCAGCCTGCTCCCCAGCCACAGCTAAGGACATCACAACGGGTGTGACACAGACGCATACCCTTGTGAAATTTACCGACAGTTTGCTTATAGTATTTTCTAACTTCCTCACAAGACATTGGCAAAATTAGGGCTACCCAAATTTAAAAGTGTTATTTCCAGCGAGAAGCCAGCAGATCAGGACATTTCCCTAAGCATAATACTAATAAATAACTCAAGTGGAGTAAGCCATAGACCTGGGACATCTATTTGTTTAAACTGACTTTCAATTAAAGGAGCAGAGCCTTTTTCCAGGTTCCCAAGTGGTGTCAGGAGGAGCGTTTTAAACTGCAGCACCCCCTTTAATGTTGAAGCCCTGAAGGGAACAGTGGAGTTCTCCTTGTACTTCACATACACAGTTATCTTAAGTGTCACCCAGCCCTCTGCCCAGGTGCAGGGGATGGCAGCCTCCAGGGCAACAGGTCTTGAGACACGGCCGGTCAGCGCCCTGAGAACCTGATTCTGACGCCAGCGCCAGCCCGCGGGTACCTGGCCGCCTGTACCCCTCCCTGTGCCCAGCAGACAGGCTGAGCACGCAGCCCTGACCTTCTCTGCCAGGCTCAGCTGGCCCTGCACCCTGAGGAGGTCGTGCTTGGCCGTCACAAGAGTCTCCTCCAGGGACTTCTGGTTCTCTACCCTGTCGCTCAGCGTCTTCTCAAACTCGCTCTTCAAAGCTGCCACCTTGCTCTCCAAGTCGCTCAGATCTTGTGCTTTTATTAAATCCTGCAGGAAGGATACAAACATGGGAACATGACCACCTGTTGGCCTGCTAGGGAGTAACTGTCTTAGGACAGCCACTTGATGTCAAGGGAGATAAAGCCACAAGGCCAGAATATGTGGCCTCCCTGCCCACCCTGTGCTGGTCACTGAGGCCCTGACCTAGAAGGCAGGACAGAGGAACTATTGGTGTTCTGGCCCAAGGGTTATAGGAGACAGGTGAGATCTTTTTGTTTTGTTTAGTGTTGGTTTGAGGCAGGGTCTCACTATGTAGCCTAAATTGGCCTTGAACTCCCAGAGATCTTCCTGCCTCAGCCTCCTAGGTGCCACTGGGATTACAGGCATGTGCCACCATGTCTGGCTGAAGAGGTGAGACTTTGATGATAGCGTTAAGTATGCTGGAGCTGGCATGGCAAACAGGTTCCATCTGGGAAAGCCAAATCAAGAAAACTCGTAGTGAAGCATTCACAAGTCTTCAAAAATGACACAGGTGGAAAAAAATTATAAAAGGAATAACATTTATAGATACATGCTTTACTTGTTATTTACAAGTGAGTATTATGAAGGCATAAGGTTGCTTGTACAGGCTTTGAGATTTACAAGATTTAAGTTTTTCACGTTAAAAGAGCTGTGCATATTTTGGGATAATTTACCTGCCTGGATCTCCTTTCCAGATCTTGGTTTTGACTGATAAAACTCATGGTAGAAAAAAAAAGATCTGGAGAGTTGGGCTTGCTGGCTCATGCCTGTAATCCCAGCACTCAGGAGGCTGAGGCAGGAGGATCCTTGCAAGTTCGAGACCAGCCTGGGCTACAAAGTGAGCTCAAGGCCAGCCTGAGTTACATAGAGAGACCCCGTCTCAAAAAAAGAAAAAAAAAAAAAAAAAAAAGATAAGAAAGTGGCCTGTAGCTGCTTAATATGTAGATGGAACAATCTTTTCCACAAAAATTCCTGCTGATACTTTTAGTGGTTTACTTTTTTATTTTTTTAATGCGAGTTTCTGACTATGTAGCTCAGGCTTATGCCACCACACCCAGACTTGCTGAGTTTTGAAATTTATTCTTTAAAAAGGTGTATCCCACTGTAACTAATAAAGCATATGTCTGCTTTGCATTTGTGCCCCACATCTTGAAGTAACTAATAAATGCTTAGACACACAATGAGTGGTTACAGTCAACCTCAAGAATTACTGGCGTATCAAATATACTTATTTTTCAAATATGAAATATATTCATCTAGAACAAAATTCAAAATCAAGGGATTTAATGAAAACGTTTTCAGAAGAATTTGGTGCTTTACACATTTTAGGGACACGGTATGAAGCCTTTTTTAAAAAATGTTTTAGATATGTACCTGAGCACAAATGATTCTCAGAGGGCCCTAAGAACAATCACCCTTGGATGGCAGCTTATTTATGCAGTACACTTTGACTCCGAGCCAGTGAAGTGATATGGGGGGGGGGGTAGGCAGTTAATGATCTCTAGGACGCCCTGTGCCATTATTTCCTGGACTCAAAGCTGAGCAGCACAGGCTCCTGCCCTGGAGGACAGGACTGAGGGCAGAGGTTGGAGGAAACCCTGGGCCTGGCAGGGAGCCGCAGGGAGCTGCGTTCTGGGCACTGAGGGCCCAGTCCAATCAGACTGATCAGATCCCGATTCCGCTTACAGCAATCAAACCAACCGTTGCCTGGAGACCCATTTGGAACTTCCTAGATAATCAGCAAAAAGGGCCTTGTTAATTATCAACAAAGCACCTGGAACTCCAGATCATTAAACTGTGTCATCCCTTCACGTTCACAGTTCAGTCAGAATCAGCCTAGCAGCACCCAACGGCCACCTGTGGGCCAAGGCCGTGTGCACATGCAGCATCTGGATAATTAAAACAACTGTGTCATCATTTCATGTTCCCTGTTCACTATCACAATCAGCTGGGACGCACCAAAAGGCAACCTTCAGGCCAAGGCCGCTGCACAGGCGGGGACCTGGATCTCAGGATGAGCCCTTCGGCCCTCCTTTCCAGCTCGAACGCCAGGGCGGGGCCACCTTCTGACAGCAGCACCTTGCCTGCCCCGCATGTGTTCTTTCCAACTGAAATTTTCTGTCACACAGTCAATCAAATGGCAGGGATCATGGCATTAATATTGCCAGGAACCCTGACAGGTGACATCATGTGTAACTAGAGCAGCGTGGGGCTGCAGCTCTTCCTGGGTGGAAGGAAACACACTGTTCACAGCTGTCCGGCAGGAAGCTGTTTTCTAGGTGGTGTCTGTGGCTCATTGTAGCCTAGGCTGGCCTCGAACTCAAGGCAATCCTCCTGCTTCAGCCTCCCCAAGCATGGGATTACAGGTGTGTGTCACCATACCTAGCTTCAGCTCTTCAACTTTTACGTTTGTCTGTGATACCTGATTATTACACTGGTTTTGGGAAACTGGTACTTAGATATCATTTCCTGGTCATTTAGATCCTTTTCCTATTCCCTTCCCTCCTCCCTTCCTCTGTCTCCCTTTCCCTTTACTTTACTTTCATGTCTATACCAAAAAATCTTGGAGTGTAATGGAAGCAGGAATTGAGCTCCTCTGAAACGCTCAGCTTTCTAGTTCACAAATCTACAGTTCTTGGCATCTTTCAATTGAAAAGCCACAGACATTTTCCTCTTTTTAGTTGCCTAAGGAATATGCTTCAAAGCAGTGCACGGGGAGACAGGGCAATGCCCGGGATCTTCAACGGGAGATGCAGAGGGAGGGAGCTCGGGGCGGGGAGGGGGCGTGTGTGTGCCAGGCACAGGATGGCCGCTCCGCCCTGGTGTGTGTTTACAGGATCCACAGAGCAAAGTTTACCGAAACCTACGGAGGCAGGCTGTGGGGTCGCTGAGCAGACAGGGACAGTGCGGGTAGTGGAGAAGTTGCAGGGGACCCGGCCGCGCCAGCTTCCTGGGTCAGCCCCAAGAGGGGCCCGCAGAGGAGCCATGTGGCTGACTTCGATGTCAGCCAGCGCCCTGGGGACAGGGCAGTGAGATGACCCCATCCGTAGTTCCTCCCATCTTGTCACTCATCAGGGTGAATTTGGGCAATGTTCTGCAGACTACAACCCGGGGGAATTCTGGAGAACTAAGGGCAGGTCCCCTCTCCATGACTGGGTGTCACACTGTGCTGGGAAGGTCCTGCATACTCTAGTCAGATCCCAGATATCTACTGGCCCTGGGTGCTGGTGCCCCCCAGCCTCTTTGCACAGCAATGTCCCGGCACAGAGGTGCTGGTCCCAGGGACTCTGCCAGGGTGTGGGGAACACTGGACTGCGATGACCACTGAGTTCTATGCCCATGACTTACAGCAAAAATGGGCTCACCTCTTGCTTCCCCTTGTCCAGCTGCAGGTCCCACAGTGCCTGCTCCAGCTTCGCCTTCTCGTCCAGCGCAGTCGTGGCCTGGAGCGTGGGGCAGGCGGAAGGCACTCAGGGCCCGCCAGTGGGTGGCCCCGTCAGTCCCCTCCAGGGCTTCCTGATTACCTGCGCCTCGATCACCTTCAGTCTCGACTTCAGTTTCTCGTTCTCTTCTTGAAGTCTTAGTATTTCCTTTGTGAGTAAATTCAAGTTTTTTACTATTTGAATGAGCATGTTTTCAAAGTATGACTTATTTCACTTAAATTACATCATAGTTCACACACCCGCATGCCCAGGTGGTGGGCCGTGGCCTGCTTTTGCCCCATCCATCAGGCTGAACACCTGTGTGGATTTTGGCCCCAGGCTGCTGGCTGCTGCTCCTGCTCCTCCGATCCCCCACCACCCTGGCTCGTGGGCCTGCCCTCCTTCAGCCCGGCCAGCTGCTCTCCAGAACACCTGCTCCTGCTGTGCTATGAGGCCAGACAGCCTGGCCTTTTCTGAGCTCTGTCCAGATCGTCACCATTGGCTCAATCTCCTTCCTCCCTGGGCTCCATGCGTAGAGGGCAGGACTGGAAAATTCCGTCAGTTTTTAAATGTTTAAAACGGGAAAAGACACTTCCATGCACTCCCCAACTCCCACTCGTTTCCCCTTGTCCTCGATACTTTCTGTAGCCACTCCAGAGTCCTCTTTCCTGAGAGTCTTTAGCTGCACTGGTCTGGCTACCTCAGTGTCCTGAATCACTTCAAAACTCTGAGCTTTCATGGTCACATTCACTTTGGGAAGAGCCAGGGGTCACATGGCCTCATCTGCTAAAGAAGGCGGGTGAGGACTCAACATGGTGTTTTTCCCAGCTGTCTTCCCATTGGTGCTTGGTCGCAGCAGTCACTGTAATCTGATCACAGTGTATAGACACTGGGAAGGAGGACACTGCCAGAGCTGCTGCGGGGAGTGACAAGGATGACAGGGAGTGGCAAGGATGACGGGTGAGTGTCTGAAGCCAGGGGAGCGTCGGAGGGGATGTGTGGCATCGTGTTTCTTAATAAACTACAAAGCAGTGTAACACTCGCTGTATTTTCCAGTTGTCCCGTACCCACTGGCCTTGCTGATCTCTGTCCATCTCCGCACTGCCCATTCTGCTCCCTGCCAACAGCCGCCTGCCTAGGCCTGAGGCTCCTGTCCTCATCTGACCGAAGTCTCCAGGCACCGGCCTCGCTCAGCCCACTGCCGGCTCCTCTGCTACCTGGGCTGGGTTTTGTCTCTGCTTCCAAGCATCAGCTCCATCTCCCCAATGAGCCCTTTGATCCCTGAGAGCCCTGGGCCAGGTGCTACACTCACTGCCTGTGATCTCCAACAAGACCTTATGAGCACAGGAGTCATAAAGGTATCTGCACGCTGACAACTTTCACAGACTTAAAAAAAGAACTCTACTATGGCTCACAGACTTTTAACTTCCCATGACAAATATTGCCCCGATGTACCACTGTTGCTCCCCCGTTGATGTATTTTGAAATCTTGTTTTAGTTTTCGTGTTTCTCCTTAAAATAAAATGGATTTGAACAAACAAACATATAAATACTTCTCCCATCCCCCACCCTCACGCAGCCCTTCACTGGGACAAGGTCCTGGAGTAGCTTTGCAATGTCTGGAAGACCAGTGCGCCCCCTGCTGGCCACTGCACACCACATCGAGTCTCTGGGCCACACTGGGCATGGGACCAAAGCCGGGACCAATTCCTCCCCCTGCTTTCAGATCCTGGGGCTGTGTAGCCCACAGGTGGACAGAAGCAGAGCTTTCCCACTTTGCCCGTACCTTGGTTAGCAGCTCTGCCGTTCCACCTTCATTAAGAGGAGCGAGTTTTGGCTTTGTGGTGTCCAAGATGGGCTGAAAGGAAACGAAGTAACCAAAGCTGCGGGCAGCACCCAGTACTGTGGTTACCACCGAGCAGTTGAGCTTTCCGAGGGGACAACACTGCACACAGTGGGCTTCTCTCTGTTCCAGGGCCCCAGGAGTCAAAACAAACAATAGCAAACGCACAACAGATGAAGTGAACACGGCTCAGCGCCTGGGGCCCACAGGGCCAGGTGTGCTGCGCGCGGTGCGGCTCACCCTAGGCCTGCGCTCTGCTTCAGCCAGGAAAGAGCGGTTGGAGCCCCAGAAGGGAGAGTGTGAGCATATGTACCTGTGTATGTGTGTGCGCGTGCGTGTGCCATGCAGGTGTGTGCAGGTCCTGAGATGAGAATGGGTTTTCATGGTGACTCCTACACTTGTCCTCTTCTGCCCGAAGCTCTGAGAGACAAGAGCTGACTCCCCGAAACGCTCTTCCCTGAGAATTCTCCCTCCGTCCCTCGAAGGCTGGCAGCCATGACATAAGATACGGACTCAGAGTGACATCAGCTTACCTTTTTTCTTGAAGATATAAATTCTGCTTTTTCAAATTCTGCAACTTGTTCTAGTAATTCTCTTGAAAGCAAATGTAAAAGAAACAGTGATTTAGAATAGATTTGCATCACATTACAGGTGAATACAATCATGGTGTCACTGTCTCGTTCAAGGGGGAGGAGCACGGGCCCTGCTCATCAGCATCATCAGAAATGGCAGTGACTCCGTCACAGGACACAGTGTAGACCGCTAGGGACCCACAGCTGTGCCGGTGCAGATGCAGTGACATTTACGCTGTGGTGTGTCTGCCTTCCTAAGGCGCCGTGAGGCCACTGTGACAGTACACACGGGAAGCTATAGGCAAACAGCCTCAGAAGACGCAAGAAGCTTCTAAACTCAGAAGATCAAGTACTCGCTGGGTGTAGTGGTGTATGCCTGTGATCCCAGCACCTGGGAGGCTGAGGCAGGGAGATAGCTGTGAGTGCAAAGCCAGTCTGGGCTACAAAGTGAGTTGAAAGCCATCCTGAACTACACAATGAGACTCCCTCTCAACACCCGCCCCCCCAAAAAAACCCCAGAATAAATACAAAATCAGCTTCTCAGAGTCATGTTACAGTCCCTGGCTGCAGGGTGTGGTCACTGAGAAGTCTCTGTCCTCACGGGCAGGGAGCACACTGTGCTGAGCAGTTTTTGGGCACTTTTACCATAGCTTTTGACATTAGTAAGCACGTGGAAGTTACAGTTATAGATCTTTTAATATTGTGTCTCCTACTGGAAGCTTATGATCTAAATGTCATTATTTAACAGCAGTGTCTACCACTGCTCACTGAACCCCCAGCAGTTACCATATTAATTTTCAACTGTATGGGATGTTTACTTCTTCCCTGACCTGTCTCCAGGGGGCCACGGTAACACTGACCGGGACACCACAGTGTAAATGTCACTGCATCTGCACCAGGCTGCAGAAGACCTGTGACAATCTGACAGGCAGCCCCTAACCCCTGGGCTCATGCCCTTGGGAGGGACCGGGGCAGGCGCCCTGTCACCTGTTTTCCAGCTCGGAGGCGTCGGTCCGCAGCTTGAGGTACCAGCGCTCAGCCTGCTCGAAGAGCTGGCACAGGAGCAGCACGTTAGTGTGCGCGGTGTGGATGAGCTCAGACTCCACCTCACTATGCACCACGGCCTGCAGCCCGCCCAGCATGTCAGCCACCTCGTCCGCGGTGAAGGTCTCCTCAGCCAGCCTGCAAGGCAGCAAGGAGCCCATGGGTGCCACTCTCGAGATCGACATCTTGAGCAAAGTCCCCTGGGGACGTTTTCATTACTACAACAACCAAATCTCAATTGATGGCATCTATTAAAATGATTACATTGTGGCAGATTCTTTGAACATGCACACGTTTTAATATCAATATGTGCTGAAAAACATTTCCCAAACTGTCATCAATTTTAAAAAATTTCTCAATATTAGTTTTTACTTCAATCTCCACTAAAATTGGTCTTTGTGTGTGTAAGTGCCAGGGATTAAACTCATGACCTCGAGCTTGCCAGGCAGGTGCTGTGCTGCTGAGCTAAATCTCCAGCCCCTACTAAAATTAGTCTTGTCTCATTTAATAATCTCAAAACTCATGTGGCAGGTACAGTTTATCTCCTTTTGGATGGGGGCACTGGGGGGACTTTGCTCCAAGTTACACCCCAGCCCTTTTAAACTTAGAGAGACGGGGTCTCACTTAGCTGACCAGGCTGGGATTCCCCTTTTGATCCTCCTGCCTCAGCTCCCAGAGTCCTGGGATTACAGGCCTATGTCCCAGGCCCTTGTGTTTGTTGTTTCCCTAGGATTTTAACTGTATGAACCAGTCACACGCTGGTGACCACCTATGAAAGAGAAGTGATAATTACAGATTGACCCCTGCAGCTTTCATAAGACCCAAAAGAAGAACGCTCAGCTGATCTTAAATGCCACTGCTGCCCACGACCATGGACATCACAGCAGCGCAAGAAAGCTCTTCTCACTTAGGTGCATTCAGGCTGGAAAGGCCCAGTGCCATCTGGCCCCAATCCCTTACTACGACCAGGGAGAGAAGACAGGACAGGGGGACACAGGGACAGAAGACGGGGCAGGGGAGGCTGGCCCCTGCAGGTGATTAAGCACTCTGCCATCCTAGCAGCTGGGTTGCTACCAACAGCTGAGTCTTTCACAAAGCTGTCGTGTGCACCCACCGCCTGCCCTCAATGAGAGCTTCACAGCAGCTCTCGCTCTTCTCACGCCACCTCCTAAGACCCCCGCCGGCCAGAGCCATCACCCCCACCTCAGCTGCCTCTTATTCCTTTCTTGCAAATGGACGAGACCAGGTGAGACTGGGCTACACAGAGTCTCAGCACTGTTACATTCGAGCTAATAGTATCTGATTATAACCCTACCACTGGACGTGGCCAGCAGAATCTGGCCATGCATAAAAACCCTAAAGCCAACTTTTATACAAGTCTTTATTAACTTTATTAATACTTTTCTATATCCTTTAATAGAACATACCTTTTTTTGCCACTTAAATTATGGCTTTCATCTGTTGGGAACTAGAAACGCAGACGAGCAGCTCCATCTAATAAGCTGGAGAGAGAATAATCGAGGGCCAAGGCCCTCTGTTCCCGGCGAAGCTTGTGGCTTTTTTGAAAGCCAGAGCTCCTGTGGAAGTCTCGCTCCCTTACATCTAACCTGACATCTAACTACTGTCTGTGACTGGTCCAGCGGAACTTACTGTGGTCTTCTGCCTCAGACCAGCTATCGGTTTGGGATTGGTCAGCACGTTAGTCATAGTTTCTTGGTGCTTTTTCCCCTCCTAAGCCTTCAGGATGAAGAGCACAGGTGTTTTCCTGCCAGCAGCTGTCTTTTATGCTTCTAGTCTTTCAATGAATAACTCAATTATAGTTAGGGACTCTATCATTAATCCACAAGTCATTAATTCCTGACTACCTTCCTGTAGCTCTGCCATCTTCTAACTACCGTCTATGACTGACTGAGATCCCCTGCGCAATCCCGTTTCTTGATTTCACAGTCCATGAAGCTTAGGGTACCAGCCCTTGGTGAAGGATTGCTCACGAGGAGCCCAGATAGGATCTGTCAAGGCCTCTGCCCCTGAAAGCCCACACCGGATCCTGGGGAGGATCACGTTCCTGCTGCTTCCCCAGAGTCCCCTCGTACCTGCTCTCCTTGAGGTCCTGGAAGCAGGAATCTACAGTTTTGAGTCTCAGGCCTCTCTTTGATCGAGCAAAACGCATATAATTAATAACTTCATTTTGATGATGTTCATTGAGGCCCAATTCTGCCTGAAAAAGAGTTTTTTAGCCTTGAAGATTTGATAAATGAATCAAATACACAGGATATCCTGTCCAGTGAACTCTATCTTCCCTGTCTTCCAGCTGCAAGGCTGCCCTGCTGACTGGTGCTTCCATGCTACGGGACCATTGCACTTCTCAGGAATGGATATGAACAAGAGCAGGCTGGCTGTTTCCAAAGCCTGGGCTAGAGGTGTGGCACTGCTACCACCCTGTTTCTCTGAATCCTGGCAGGGTGAGGGCTGGTTTGAGCCATGCAAACAGTATCAATGCCCCAGCAATGGGAGAACAGCGAGATGAAAGGCACCCTGGTCCCCACCTCATGGGGGCAGCACTGAGCCAGGGGCAAATGGAAATGAACAATGAGCTGGTGCTAAGTGAGAAATGAACTTCTGTATTTTAGTACACATGCTGCCGAAGCAAGCACCAAACCTCTGATTCCTGGAGCCATTAGTTTTTAGGTCTCTGGTACAGCTACTTATCCCACTAAACACAACTTAAAAAAGTATATGTTGTTTGGAAATAGGCATCAGCTGGTTTTTATTTTAAACCAGAAGAGCACCTAACAGATATTAAGAGGCATACCTGTGAAGACTCGATAGCAAACAGAGCACAGGTCCAGGATTGCTTGGTATCTGTGCTGCTCACTGTTTCCACATTATCTCATGTACCCGTGTCACACCCCGGGGGTAAGTGTCTGCATTTCACTAAAATGCCTCTGCTGTTAAATTGGCAGAAGAGGACAAAAGATAGAGCACAAACAGGTATCGATGTTTTGTGACCTCACCCCCATCCTTTCCTCAACTATTCATCCTTGGAAGACGTTAGGGAAATCAGGAGGACAGGACAATGTGTAAACTCAAAACGGGAGGTGAAGTTGGGGTGTAGTTCAGCAGTAAAGCGCTTGCCTAGCCTGCAGGAGGCCTAGGCTTAATCACCAGCACTGCAAACGCACATTTTTCAGACAATTTTTTGAGCAGAGCATAGTGGCACAGGTCTGTAGTCTTGGCTGAGGACAGCTTCAACTCAAGCCTTTGAAACCAGCCAGAGAACACAGCAAAAGCGCCATTTTTAAAAGTTCTGTTTTGTTCAGTGCTGTATTCTCCACTCTGAGCCAGCACTTGGCACACACTGAGGACTAAGTAAGAATTTTAACGCTGAAGTTCCTCAGGAGTCTCTGTAAGTGGCTCTAACACTTGGATTCATTTTTTTTTCTCTTGAAGAGCTGGGCTTCAACATTACACACTGTTTTATATATAACTTCTACTTATATTGCCACGCTGTATTTACTGGAGGAATTAATAGTCTTTTTATTTTTACGTTTCGGTGCTGGAGATCGAACTCGAGGCCTCCATTATTCTGACCCTGCTATCTACCAACGAGCCACACTCCCAGCACAGTGGTTTTTTAATAGGTCAAAACAAAGGAACTGTCACCTAAATTTCCTCCACTGCAAAACAGAGTGCTTGGATTCTTAGATGTTAAAAATTAAACATAGAAAGTGTGGCAGTATTATGCCTCCTCAGCTCGTCAACCCTTAATAGTCTACTGTGGCGGAGGAATGTGTGCGTGAGGGTAAACCGAGCTTTCTGAAGAGATCTCGAAGTCTTCCTTGCGCCCAGGATTTAATCACTGCCACTTGCCAGCTGCCACCTGGTCGTGGCCCTTGCAGGCAGCAGCGAGGGGTGAAGTGACGGAGCAGAGCCGGGCAAACAGGAGAGGGCGTCACCCAGTATTTGCAGGCAGCTGAGGTGAAGCGCGACTTCGGCGCCCAGCGCGGCCTCCCCTTCCCAGAGGGCCCCGGAGCGGGGCTCGGACTCAGCGCTCCCCCTCCACCGCGCAGCGTCTCCAGCCCCGGCCGCTGCCCTCGCCTCCGCGCCAGCGCGGTCGCTACTCACCATGGCGGTAGCAGGGCGTCAGAGGCCCAGAGGAGCTGGCCAGTGCAAGCGGGGACGCGGCCAGCCCGCGATCGCCAACGGTGCGAGACCGCAAGACGGCCAGTGGGAATAGAAGCTGTTTTGAAGCCTCGGGTTGCTAATGGGAACAGAGGCACGTGGGTCCGCAGTTACGCACTTTGATTGGTACTCAAGATCACGAGACAGGAAGTGCTCGCTACTGGCCAACCGCCGCATGCGCATTAGTTTCCACACAGGACGTCCCGCCTTTTAGCGTCGTGGTCACTTGTGGAGCTGACCGCTGTTGCCTATGGTAACGGGACTGGCGGGCGCCTCAGACCCCCAAGGCGCTTGCGCGCTCCGGGGTGTCGGTGCTGGTCAGCACTCCTGATGACCAAGGCCTACGGAGCGAATTCCAGCTCACGCGGAGCCCTTTCTCGGCGTGGGGCGGCGCGAACTGGCTCTGCCCTTCAGCTGCACCTAGGCCTGCTGGCAGCGGAGGCAGACTGACCACGCCGGCACTTCCACGTTGCCCTCTTTCGAGTGTTACAATTACTTCTGATATCGCTGGTAAAAGCCTTTAACTTAACACTTTTTCCTTTTTAAAAAATTGCAGTAACATCGGTTTGCTCAAAGAGCCACAGATTTAAAAAGAATGCATGCCAGGAATCACTAGGGAAGTTCGTTGAATAAATAAGGGCTTCGGCCTCACCCCGGGAAATTGTGGTTCACCAGGTCCAGTGTGGATTCTCAGACGCTGCAAGTTTGTCTCGATTCTGGGAGGGATGGCAGACCTTTTTTCTTTTTTAGATAGGGTCTCGCTGTGTAGTTCAGGCTGGCCTCAAACTCCCATAAATCCTCCTCCCTCAGCCTCCAATGCTAGTATTGCAGGCATGTGGCACCATGCTCCATGTGCGATCTCTCTAGGAAATACTGTACTGGAGAAGTCTGACGTGTTAGGAGAACATAGATCATTGCAATCTAGAGTCTGGGGACTGTCTTGGGCGCAAGCCCAGAGGACTCACAAGAAGTCACACACAGTCACCAGGGGGCAGTGTGGGAAGCCCGGTGTGAGCAGAGTGCCAGGGGCTGACAAGCATAGAGACAGCTCCCTGTGTGCCTGAGAGCCAGCCATAAAACAGAGGAGAAGTAATCTGACCTTAGCCCTGAATCATGGATAGAAAACCTTTTAGGTTTTAGGTATCTTTGTATTTTAGGTATCTTTTGGGTTTGTGTTGTTTTCGGGCACTGCTACCAACTGCAGTTTTAAATGAATCACAGCTGGGTGTTTTTTAGATCTGGAGGGGCTTTTAGGAACCAGGTTGGTTCCTAAACCCATCCTGTGGATGAATTCCTGGCCTCTCAGGGGCCTGAGACTGACAGCCAGAGCCCTATATCTAAGATGAAAGACCTTCCGGCTTGGGACTGGAGCCGCAGCTGGGGTTTGGGTCAGGGAGGAAGCCCATGCAAATATGTTTTCAACAGCAAAACAAGAAGGCAGGTGTGAACTATTCCGATCCAACTGTGTGCGGGAGGGGGGTGGTAAATCACATTCTGGTTTCAAGAATTTCATTTTTCTTTTCATTGTTTGCCACAACATTTTGTTTACAAAATAATACTACATTGGGCACAGAATTTAACATGTCCCAGGAATGGAGCTCCATACTTTTTTTTTTGTTTTGTCTTTTTCTTTTTTATCGGTACCAAACTCACGACTGCCTGCTTGCAAGGCAGGTGCTTATGCCACTGAGCTAAATCCCCAGCCCCAAAACTCCATACTTTCTGAGATAAACTTGAAACTTCCTGCTGGATCGCAGTGGCAGCAGGTAGATTCTTTAGAATAAAGGTCACCGATAAAATGATATCTTTGGAAAAAGAAGTGTAGCCCGTGAAAACATGCTTATTAGCCAAGTGGATAATGCAGCAGGATGGAGCTAATTAGAGTGAAAAGGGGCAGGGGACCTAGCTCAGCAGCACAGCACCTGCCTGGCAAGCGCAGGGCCCTGAGTTTGATTTCCGGTACCCTTTCCACCGCAAATAAGTAAAATAAAGTGGAGAATTTCCAACTTAGACAAGGTAAGAGCTAGAAGGTTGTTTTGAGGTGAGGCAAGGTAGTTGCAGAATGGCCAGGTGTCTTGCCTGGGATTGGAGGCAGATCTGGAATCCAGTCTCACCACTTTCTTGACCAATTTGTCCTACCCTGTGGACAGGTGCAGGGCTTTCTCCACACTTCCCAACATCCCTCTGGAGGTAAGGTGACATAGGTAAGGTCATCTGGACGGCCTGGAGATGACTACATGTTCACGGCAGTACCTCACACCTCAGGGGTAAGAGCAGCAGCTGTAGACAGGCCTCTCCCACATGTCAGCTGGAGTGCTCCGGTCTGGAGGCCTCAGCTTGACTGTGTCCAACTTTGCCTTGGCTCCTGGCAACACTGGACACAATGTCTGTCCCTTTGCAGGTACACAGGGCAAGTTCCCTGTACCCTCCATACTTACCCAAAAGCTCAGTTAAGTTCCCCCTGACACGCTGTCTCTTCCATTTCTGTCAGCTGGGGCTTGATGACTTTGATCACAACAGTGGCTGTGATTTAATGCCTCTTGTTATAGTTTATACACTGTGTCAACCTGAAAATTTTAGAAGTTCAACTAAGAGACTCAGCAGGGAGCCAGGATCCTTATTTTGTAAATATCCTCATCATGTGCAAAAGGAAGGCACAGAGCTTTTGTGAATGCTACACCTGCCCTGGAGGGGAGGCGTGGCTGTGTACATCATAAGGGAGAAAATGAGGCTTGTTCTCTCTCTACCTCTACGCTGGCTGCTTTTGCTGTCTGCTGCTTTGAGATGCTGCTCCATTGCCATACCACCCTGCCTTAGAGCCAGCTGATTATGGACTGAAACCTCTACAAACTGAAAGCTAAATAAACCTTTTCTTCCTTCATTGTGGGTGTTGGATATTTTGTCCCAACAACAAGAGAAAAGTAACCAAGACTCCGCCCATGCACTGGACACCTTGCTTTCCATTCCAGTGGTAGATCCTCAGGGTAGTTGATTGGTTCTTATTTCCGTGAATATTGATTGTGTTCGTAAAAGGACAGTTGCTTTACTAGAGAAGGAATTTTATAAAAATGCTTATGACATGTAAATAAGTACAGAGGTCAGTTTGCATTGCCAAGAAGCTTCAGTATGTTCCCTGCAGGCAAATTCTGGGGCATGCCAAGTGTTATTCATGGAGAAACCAAAGGAGCGAGGGGATCATGAAAATACACATTGGTGGAAATGTTTGTGGCTTGGGGAGTTTTTAACATTCTGCAAAATTGTATCAACTAATGATTTTAATGTAAAATTCTGTTTTGATTTAACGTCTGTACCACAGGAGGAGGTGATAAATTTCACGGTCAGTCCACCCACCCAGTGGAGCTGAGTGTTGTCATGTAAGCTGTCTAACTGATATCGGCAAGCAGGAACCTGCAGTTTCAGTCTTCAAGTGATGAATTTGGCTTGTGAAAAAGCTGAACTTGTACTTGAGGTTGTTTACTAGCTTGAGTTGGTCACCAACAAACATTTCAAGCTGAGAGAGAGAGAACAGCTCCACCCTGCTTCAGTACTGAGTCTCAAGCTCCCTGTTTTTTAAATAATTGTTGTGGAAATTTTGAGAGGTGAGAGAAAATAGGAGGATGAATTGAAGGCACACAAAGCCATTTCATATTTTCACCATAAATAAAGTGAAGGTCAGTTCTCAGCTACAGTGCTAAGGCCACCAAGTTTAGGGTTTGTGCAAGCCAGGTTGGCAAAAGGAGGTCTTCTTAGGATTGCTGGCAAAATCTGTCCTGCTGCTGCTTTGACAGAGCCCCTGCTGTGGGCCAGGTTTGTGACCAGGATGCAGAATCTGAGAAAGGAATAGAGTGACTCAGAAAACCCCAGCTGTTCCCACTCCGTAGGCTTTTGGATGAGGTAGGGGCTAAAGTGATGCTTCATTTAAGTACAAACAGGAAGCAATAAAGAAAAGGAATTAGTAAAAAAAAGGTAGTGCAAGTGTACACAGAAAAGCAAAAGTCTTGGGGGTCCCGTGGGAGACAGCATAGTTTGAGAAACATTCCATCAATGGTAGGTGTCAAGGGACTAGGGAAAATCATTTTGGGAGCTCACCTTGACTCTTTGGAATGTGGCTTCTTGCTTGTATCAGAGACCTCGCTAATTTCCCTTGCATGGCTGGCTGTAACTAAGAAAACAGCTAAGGCATTAAAGAAGGGAAAGTTCCGGGATTAAAGGACCCTAGAGGAGTTTTTGGCTTTGAGAATCAGTTGGCAAGAGACTGTTTTCAGTTGATCTCAAAGCTCTCAAGTGACGGGTAGAGTATGGGTGGGTGCTGAAAAATAAGATTAATTGAGTTGCTGTCCCATGTATTAAAGGAGGTCAGGCCAGGAAGCGGTTCACCATGTAAACCCTAAGACTGTGTGGACTGTGGCAATTAGCCCAAATTATAGATTAGTTTCACTGATAAATCTCCACACGTTAACAACACCCCAAAACAAACAAATACAAAACCCAGCATAAAGTGAAGCCTAACTCAAAAGAATATTAAGAATTGGTGGTGGGCAAAAGACTTTTAGATTTAGTAACCAAATTCAGTAGCATAGCTGGATACAAAGTCAACACTCAAAAATCAATAGCCTTCCTGCACACAAACCATAAACTCACTGAGAGAGAAATTAGGGAAAGCACACCCTTCACAGTAATATCCAAAAAAGTGAAATACTTAGGAATCAATCTAATGAAGTGAAAGCTCTACAGTACTCTGAAAAAAGAAATCAAAGAGGATTTCAGAAAATGGGAAGATATTCCTTGCTCATGAATAGGAAAAACCAACATAGTGAAAATGGCCATATTCCCAAAACTGTTATGCAGATCTAATGCAATCCCAATCCCAATACCATTAGCATGCCTCACAGATCTAGATAAAATACTCCTAAAATTTATCTGGAACCAGAAGAGACAGAGGCAATCCTGGGCCACGAAGGCAAGGCAAGAGGCCTCATATCCCTGTCTTGAAATTATACTAGAAAGCTACTGTGGTAAAATCAGCATGGTGCTGGCAAAAAGCAAAACAAAACAAAAAGACAGACCTCCAGATCAGTGGAATAGATTAGAAGATGCAGACACGACTACGAAGACACTCAGCCACCTTATCTTTGACAAAAGGACCAAACATGTTTACTGGAAGAAAAGTAGCTTCTTTAATAAATGGTACTGGAAAAACTGGCTTTCCACATGCCAAAGACTGAAATTAGACCCATGCCTATCACTATGCACTAAAGTAAAGTCAAAATGTATCAAAGAGTAAGTAAGAGCCAAAAGGTACAATAGATATTGTGAAAGAGAAAAAAACTGCTCAAAAGGAAAGAACAACGGATGGGGAAAGGAGAAAAGAAGGAAGGGAGATATATATATATATATATTTAAATTGATATATGCAGCATAGCTACTCGTTCTGTTAGTTCACTGAAAGACACAGTGCTTTTGTTTGATCAATCTTGCATGCCTGTATCTGGTAATCTGAGCAACTATTTTGAAGACAACGTTATGCAATGTAAGAATTGTTGTTAGTTTTCTATCATCTTGCTTTGAAATTCTGTATCATTATAATTGTTTTTTTAAAATTCTCTTTAAAAAAGAATTGATGGGGAATACCTTGAGCTAAACCCAGAAGTTCAGTCCTCAAATTCATCGACTTGTGCTTGGAAAGCTAGGAGCATGATAGACACTGTGGGAAACGACGATAGACCAGACAGGATTCATCCCTTTAAAAACGGTGGCCTTGGGGCTGGGGATTTAGCTCAGTGGCGAAAGTGCCTGCCTGGCAAGCAGGAGGTCATGAGTTTGATCCCTGGTGGAGGTGGGGGAGAAAAAGAAAACAAACAACTGTGGCCTTTTGATCAGGTTAGGGTACAACACTTGCAAAACCACCTTGGAGCAGACAATAAGTAATAAGAGGTCTCCTCATCCAGGATGGAAAAATAAAGCTCAGAAAGTCTTCTGGATGCCAGTGGGGTTCGGGATAGACTTTGGGAGATGCACAGAAGAGTTGCAGGGGTAAGATGATTGTGGGGAGAGAGGGCCTTTCTCAAACAAGGAACCAGAGTCTACATCAAGTCTCACGGTAGATGTGTGTTTGTTATTTAGGGAGAAAAATTACAAAAAAAGATAAACTTTTCGTATTAGTCAGGTTTTCATCACTGGGACCAAGGACCTGAGAAAACCAGCACAAAGGAGGAGCGGGCTACCGTGGCTCACAGTTTAGAGGTTTCAGTGGTTTCAGTCCATGGTCAGCTGGGTCCACGGCAAGAATGTCATGGTAGAAGGGCGTGGTGGAGGGAAGCAAGCTGCTCTCTGCATGGCAGCCAGGGTGTGGAGAGGCTGGACAGCAAGTTGGGGAGAAAGAAGAATAGCCCTTCCAGGTGACCCTCCACTGACCTACTTTCTAAACCAGCCCCAGCCTTGTGACAGCAGTGTCAGCTCTGAATTCACCTAGGTCAGCATCTGCCCAGACAGGATAAATAATGCCTGAAAATTAGCTGGCAATATGCGTTTGCCTTCCCCACGATGGTTCCTCCAAGGAAAGCATATCATATGACCTGCCTGAGCCAAGGCTGGGCAGACCATCACCCACTCTGAGTGAGGCTTGCAGAACTGAATTGAAGATAATCAGGAACACCCTCACCAACTGCTGAGTCCCTGAGGTGTCCAGACACTGCCTGTGGGTCAGTTTGGGTCCTGGCCACTCCTTGCCTTCGCAAGCATAACCTGTGCTGTCAAATACACTCAGCTCTCCCAATTCCCTTTATTAAATGTAATTTTGAAATAGTCGAGTAACTTTTATAGTCCTGAGTGTTTCAGAAATAGTTTCTACTATTTCACCTTTAAACCTTATTGTTTATATAACTACAAATTAGATTCTAATTGACCAGTTGACTTAATAATGCCACGTTTTTAAATCCTCCCATCAAACTGGGGTGTTTACTATTTGGTTTTTCTTTTTACATCTTTTTTCTTTCTTTTTTTTTTTTTAACAGAGCAAGATATTGTCTTATTTTATTTTATTTTTCCAAATCCATTTTATTTCAAGGAGAAGAAGAGGAGGAGGAGGAAGAGAAAGAAGAAAAAGAAGGAGGAGGGGAAGGAGAAGGAGGAAGAGGAGGAGAAATAGAAGAGGAGGAAGAAAAAGAGGAAGGAGGAAGAGAAGAAGAACAAGAACAAAAACAAGAAGCGGCAGCTAAAACAAAATTTCAAGACACATCAGTCAGGTCTTTTTACGTCTTGAACCCAGCGTGTTGATATTGCGGATCCCACATTTTGAAGGCCATAGGCCTGGTGTGTAAAGTGACTGGTGGATGTTGGGGAGAACAAACAGGGTTGAAATGAGGACCCTGCTCTCACGCCTTCTGACTGACTCGGTTGGAAGGGAGTGTCTGTGTCCGGTGGCTGCTCGAGTGGGTGACAGCTCATAGCAGGGCTTCAGAGAAAACTCTGAGGGAGAAATTGAATCTCAAGGGACCGTCATGTGTTAGCCTGGCAAAGCAAGTCGGAAAGGGCTGCGGCAACGGAAGGGCCCAAAACACATGGCCCCAGAATTTCTGTGTGCGGGGGGATTTATCTGACCCCCAGTATCAAGTGCAAATACAGGACAGGGACATCTTTATCAGATCACTCACAAATAATCCCATGGGGAACAGATGAACAGCGAACACGCACAAAAGCATGTGTTAGAACTGAAGGTCAAGGCTGCCCTTGTTCTCATCTGATACAGTTTATTCTTACTTGAAGAGAGCACGACCTGGGTATAAGCCAGAGGGCACTGTGATTTTATTATCTCTATATAGAAAGTGCAAAGAGTTTTGTCTTAAGAGACTTAAAATGTATGATTTTCTTTTTTGGTATCATGTGAGAGAAACCATGGAAGCTGTGGAGGTGGTTTTTTCCCAGCACCTTGCTGTATCCACTTAGAAAGGTTCTGTCTGGAAGCAGAGATGGTCCTTGTGCCGTGGTAGTTTTTGTTTTACTTAGCGTTTACAGTGCTGTGAAAGTTTTCTTCTTCACAGTGGAGATAGCTGTTGAAACCTTCTCCAGTGTCAGTAATGACAGCCGGCCCTCATGGCGCACTTACTGTGTTCTGGTGACACACGCTTCATGCTCAACATGCGACATTTCTCAGATGACACCCTCAAACAGACCCTATATGTCGTCTTAGCATCAGACTTAATGTGCGTAGCTAACTTTTGCAAGCTCATGTGGGGGACTGGTTGAAGCGCTGGGACATGCCAGGGGACACTGATGCCAGACAGACAGGGACAGACTCATCCTGTAACTCTCACACTGCTGGAAGCACAGCCATGGTGCGACACCCGCACACCTCACCTGGAGTCCCACGCAGACCCTCCCATCCTTCTAGCTGTTCTCCGATGTCCTAATTCCAAGGACCTTGGTCCAATTTGCATCATTCCAGTGTCCCAGCACTGCTGGATAGAAATCAGTGTGTTTCCTCTCCAGCTTCTTCTGTGCTTCATGGAGTTCACATTCTATTACTCAATGTCTCGAGATTCTCAGCTTTCATGAAGCTTCTCACCCACAGGGTTTCTTTATTTCTCCCTCCTCTCCACACACATGGCCTTGGGGCGCTGGTGGTCCCTGCCTCACCTGCTGTCACTCACTGAGCCCCCTGACCAGGCCTTCTCCGGGTAGTTATGTTCCTCACCCCTCTGCTGTCTGGCTTTCTTTACACACCTAACATCCGGGCCACTTGCTTGTTCAAGCACCCTCTTTGAGGCCTTGTGACTGACCAAGTGGCCTAGATCGTCTGTGTTGCCACCCCTGGTGGATGATCCACATGGCACCCTGTGTCAGGACCCTACCTGCTGCTCTAAAACAACCTCAGCTCCAGGGCACTTAGGAGTCTCTCTGCTCCCATTATGGCTTAGAACTAAAACGCCCCCAAGAGCTTCATGTCTGCATAGGCGGGGCTTTCACAAGGTGATTGGGTTATGGGGGCTGATAGCAGACTTGATCTGTGCAGGCAGGTTCTGGTCAGAACAGGTAGGTCCCTGTGGGCGTGGTCTGAAAGGGTTTATCTCTGTTTCCTGGCTCCTCCTTTCCTTCTCTGCTTCCTGTTCACCATGTGGAGAGCAACTCTTCTCCGCCAGGCCCCTCTACTTTGCTGCCCTGCCTTGGAGCCCGCCAACTATGGATGGAAACCTCTGCAAACTGTGAGCCAAGCTAATCTGTCCTTCTTTTAGCTATGTGGGTCCAGTGTGGTGTCCCAGTGACTGGGAAAGGGACTCAGGTAGCACCTCAGGTCCCATATGAGCTGGGGCTGCTGCAGTCCAAAGTCTGACCATCAGCAGGTCCCTCAGTATGGCTCAGACACCCTCACTGTCCTGAAACCTTGCCTTGGACTTGATGTCCAACCAACTGTGACCTTGAACCTCCTGTTTTTTCCCATCACTGTGCTCCTTCAAGTCAGCACCTGCAGGTGGGCACTCAGCCCTGAGAAGTTTGTTTCTCACTGAGTGATTCTGTTATAACACAAGCTTGGTTGATTCCAAGCCAAAATTTTTCCAATCATGCAGATTTTTTTTTTTTTTTGATTCTTGCTCCCAAACCAGAAGACCATCTGCATGGGCTTCATAACACCTTTTTGGCTGTCACTTTCCTGTCTCCTATGAATTCATTGTTGCTTCTCCTTGTGGACCAGCCCAGTTCCTCCTCACCCAAGCAGCCATCTCCTGATGTTTTCCTGGTCCTCGGCATCCACCCTCCCACCTCTTCAACCCCAACATGGGAGTCTCCTTCTGCCCTTCTAGTAATGTGAGCTCCTTTTGTGTTCCTTTGTAGGTGAGGAAATATGTGAAGATTAGTAACTTTCAGTATAGGACATGTGGTGAAAGGGTCTTTACAGAAACTCTGGTGGGAGAATGGCATGGCATGACCCTGTTTGGAGGACAACCTGACATCACTGCCCAGAATGAAAGTGCACACGCCTTTTGACCCAGTGATCTGCCTTCACGTCTAAGAGTTTATTTAAGAAAATCAAGAGTGCAAAGACATGTGCAGATTTCTGCTGCAGCTTTTTTACAGGTTGTTTTCTGGGGGAATGACAAAATTAAATATGGCATGATAAACATGTAATTTCCCATAGCTGCAGGAAGAGGAAGGATTTGTGTGTGCTGACACAGAACTAGATCTGTAATATAAAGTGAAATGAAAGAGCTAGAGGGTGGTAATCAGAGTAAGATCTCATTTTAAGAAAAGGGCATACAGACAAATTCAGGAAGGCAGAACAATGCATTTTTTATACCAAAATCCATGAAAGGATATAAGTGCTATAGATATCCACTGCATACATACCTGTAATTTGAGTTTATTAAGCAGTTATGAGTTTCATAATTTAATGACATAGAAAATAGGAGCCATTATAGAAGCGCTCTTTGTCACATTTCCATAGTTTTAATTGCTCGTCAGAATCTCACCCTAGAGAGACCTAGATGGGAACCTCTCAGAGAAACCTGTGCCTTCCTCTTATTTTCATGTTGGTTGTGGTCCACTATTTTTAGCTCTTTCTTTTTTGTCCAGATGGCGGTGTGGGTCCAAGCCTTCCACGCAGGAAGTGGAGCACGCCAAGGGCGTCACTTGTGGCCAGTTCACAGTTTCACGACCCCTTTCCCAGCCTCTGCTAGGGCAGGGATGCTTGGCTTTGGTGAGGTCCTGTTGGCTTCTCAGGGCCTGACCTGAAGAAGGGCCGCTGGGCAGGCCTTGCTGGGGTGACTGATGGCAGAATTCAGTGAGAAACCTCCCTCCATTCCTTTCAAAGGACACAGAGACACATGAGGTGCGTGGAAGTCTCGTTTTCTTCGCAGCAGTACAGAAACGTCCTTCGTGGGGGAGGGACAGTAAAAATAGTGGCCCAGTGTGTGCCAGGGGCTGTGAAGGGACTGGAGCCTCTCGTCTCCGTCTCCGTCCTTCTTGTCCTGCCCTCCTGGTTCTCCCCGGGAACTCATGTCGGAGCTAGCTCCGAGCCCATGCTGCCAGCCCTGCTGGGCCCCACCCCTTCATCATCCCTTCAGATTTCTGGCACCTAGTCTGTGTTCCTCTCCTCTCTGATCCTTCTTCAGGTTCAAGTCTTTGACTCATTCAAAAAAAAAAAAAAATGACAAAGTGAGCCTCAGTCCGGCTACTCCTCTGTGGAAACCTTCCTGGCCCTCTGTGATCCCAACTTTGCCTCCTCCTGGTTGCCACACCGGGGGGAGTGTGGCCTCTGTGGACTCCATGGTGCCTGTTGGTCACACTGCATCCTGGCTGCCTTCTCCTCCCACTGGAAGAGGCCTCTTGGGAGCCCCGTGTCAGCTCCTTGCTGCTAATCCCATGCCGGTCTCCGTCGGGTGTGCAAGGCACGCATAGCTGCCTCCTTCTGTCCCATACCCTGGGCGCTTGATCCTCTGTGCTCCCCTCTCCCGCTGGCCCTGCTGCCCATCCCTGCAGCTCAGTGTCCCTTATAGGATTCTTCTCTACCCCATTGTCCAACTGCTCAGTCCTCCTCGTCTGTGGGGCTTTGCTTCTTCCCAGGGTTCCGCCTACCCTTTCTGAGGGCGACCATCAATCTGGCCTCCAGCCCAGGCTGCACACTCACACACCCAGGCTGGATTTACAGGACCTTGAAGGTTTCCCACTCCTAGGTGAGGAGAAGACTAAAATGCAGCTGAGGGGCTGGGGATTTAGCTCAGCGGCATAAGCACCTGCCTTGTAAGCAGGCAGTCGTGAGTTCGATCCCTGGTACCGATAAAAAGGAAAAAGACAAAAAAAAAAAAAAATGCAGCTGATTCCGAAAGCTTGTCACCTGCCTGCCTTCGAGGTCTCCTTCCTGCTTGCTCTCTAATCCTGTCCAGCCTGAGGGCAGATTCACACTCACCTGGGAGTTCTGGTTCCTGCAGCTTCCAGCGCGGCCCACCAAAAAACCAAAGGACCGGTCACCCCCTTCTATCTAAAAGCAACTTCCCCATTCCAGTTCTTCTTGTGATAGAAAAGGCGGCCCCACCTTTCTCTTTCCTCTCTGTCGGCCAGTACGGTATGTGACCCTGCTGACAGTTGTCACCTCACCGTGCTTCACTGCTGCAGGGTATCCCCGACACTTAGCTCCAGGGCCTCCCTCCCACCTCTGTGGGGAGCTTGGCAGTTGCCCTCCTCTACCCTCTTTTTTTCTTGACTTGATGCTATTATTTATTTATTTATTATATATTATTTATTTATTATATATTATTTATTTATTTGACCCTCCTGCCTCAGCCTCCCGAGTGCTGGGATTACAGGAGTGCAACACCATGTCTGGATTTTAATTATTTTTTTAAAGAGGAAAAACAAACAAACCCCAGAAAAACCAAGAAGCAAACCAAACCAGAAAAACAACAAGCCAAAAAACCAAACCAAACAAAAAAAGAAAACCCAAGCAACAAAAGCAAAGTGATGACAGCAGCAGCAACTGCTGTACACTAGCAAAAAGAGCTTCCTTATGTTTGTGTTGTGCCTAAAAAAATTTTTTTTGCAGTATCCAGAATCAAACTCATTACCTCACACTTGCCAGGCAGGTGTTTATGCCACTGAGCTAAATCCCCGGCATGCCTAAAGTTATATGACCAAAGTACCTGTAACACCGCCATACTGTTCTGTATACGTCATTTTTTCTGGGTGACCTAACTGATATGTTAATCAGTGCTCCCCTCTATAAATAATTGTAAAGCCCTGAGAACCTGACCTAATTGATATGTTAACCATTGCTGTCCTCTGCACAACAGATGTTATCTAAAATTGAGTGCTAAAATAAGTTGACAAAGGATTGTTAATTCCTCTGCAAAGGAAAACAAAGGTCTTCCTCATTCCTTAGCAGATTTCCTGGTCCACGCCCATAACCCCTTACTTTGTAAACTGTACTTTCTACAAAAAGTCTGGAAAGTTTTGAGGGAGACACACAGCTTTTGCAAACTCCAACTGCATTGTGTCGCTGGGCCCAGGATAAAATAAATCAGCACTGATTTTTAAAAACATGTCTTGCCCCATTTTTGGACTCGAGGTTGGGGATGTAATGGCTCATTTTTGGATTATAAGAGTAACAGCAACAACAAAATAGCAATATAAGATTTCAAAACAAGATGATAGGAATTTATAATGGTCACTGTATTTTTAACAGTGGTTGTTCTATTTGTCTGCCTCTACTCTTGCTGTGGTGCTGACAAGTGTCACAGCAGGGACACAGCTGGAAGACCTATACTCACCCAGGCGGTCCTGCTGCCTATTTGTGATTTCCATCTTGAGCAGTGTGAGCCGCGTGGACCGCATGGTGATAGAGCCATAACACTGAGGGCTGTTGGCCTCAAAGTACTCCAGAGAGCAGCAGAAAGGCAAGAAGCCAAGAGCTCCTTAGAGGCCTGGGGAGACCTTCAGAGACAGCAAGGCCCTGCAGGACCAGTGGAAGAGACTAGAGAGGCAAAGAGGGTGCTGTGAGCTCTGGAAAGCTGCAGGAGGCTCTGAGCCCCAGCTTCCGGGAGCAGGAGTATTGGAAGCTTGGAGGCCCAGGGCTCACGCTCAGATTGGAAATGCCAGAGAGGGCGAGGCTGAGCTCAAAGCCTGGGCTGCTACCGCCCCGGGAGCGTCGCTTTGCCAATTCTTGATTCTACTGCAATTGAGCAAAGAACTTACAACCAGCAGGTGACATTTTTATGCAGCAACAACAGCAACCAAGCACTGCGGAGTACAACTTAAACATTATTCCGCTGTGTCTGAAGCACTCATCACTATGCAGAAATTTTTCCCACCAGAACTTTCAGTGGCCTCCTGGGAAAGCTGCTGCAGGGTACATGGATAAATCACACATTGAGGGTCTTCTCCTCCCTTGAAGAGCAAGTTCAGTGAAAATTAAGTTGCATCTGGGAATCTGCTTTGTGGACTATTACATCAACCTAGAAAATAATCATACTTCTGAGCTAGAATTCATTTAAAATATTTAGACTAAAAGTTAAGAACAATGACAAAACCGTGCTGGGGGTGGAATAAGGTAAATAGGCTGAAAATGTTGCCCAGGCTGGTCTGAAAGTCCTGAGTTCCAAGGATCTACCTGCCTCAGCCTCCCGCCTCAGTCTCATTACCACTGCAACCTAACTTGCAAGTTCACTTAAAAATGTGAATTTTACATTCGAGAGCAGCTCAGACTCACAACAAAATTGAAAGGTACCGGGATGGGATTTCCCTTCACACCCCCCCCCCAACAGGCCCTACCTAAGGGGCACATTTGTGACAATGAGTGGTCCTGAGCCAGCACATCATTGTCACCTGAAGACCAAAGTTTGTTAACTATTTGCTTTCAGTTTTCATTTTGCAAGTGTAGAGAAAAAATGTTTTGTGATTTGCAAATTGGTTATTTAATCAGAATGATCACTTTATAAAGAAGGTGCTAGTTTTTTTGTTGTTGTTGTTTTGTTTGTTTTTTTATCTTTTTTGAGACAGGGTCTCTATGCAGTTCAGGCAGGACTTGAGCTCACTTTGTAGCCCAGGCTCGTCTCCAACTCACAATGATCCTCCTGGTTAGCCTCCCAAGTGCTGGGATTACAGGCATGAGCCACCATGCCCAGCCTTAGTTTTTGTTTTTTTGAGATGGGGTCATCCAGGCTGGCCTTGAATTTGTGGTGATCCTCTTGCTTCAGCCTCCCAGATGCTGGGATTATAGGCTTGCACCACTATCATTGACTTCAATTTAAAAAAAAAAAAAAAACTTCAACAATCTTTTATTACCAGTGTGTGCAGGTTTAACTTTTTAACCATGCCGAGAACAAAAACAGTCTCCATCACCTCCAGCTCAGGGTGCAGACCTAGTAAAGATTGTGTCTTTAAAAAAAAAAAAGATTGACATTAACACATATCTGTGTAAGCATCTTATAAAAAAGTTAAATTCACTAGTGTTGAGAAAATAAATCTCCCAACTGGTTTCAGACCATTAAAACCAAATTAAACCAAACCAAACCAAAAACAGTGTTGGGCAGCCCGGGATGCCTTAGCCCACAATACTCCCACAGCCCTGGGAGAAAAACACTCAGCCTTCATCTGAAGCAGTTTCTCTCCACCTTTGTTCAGCTTCTACCACCTATTACTCCAGGAAGCACCCCAGGGGCAGGAGGAAGACCCAGGCATTTGGGGTTTCCGGCCTGCTGGGCTTGTAAGGCTCACACCAAGGACAATTCTCAGGAACACTGGTCTCCACTACAATCAGAAAACTGAGTTTCAATTTCAGGGCCAGATTTCTAGAAGCTTCTAGAACGTCCTCAAGATTTCTCCAGGGAGGGATCCAGGGCACCTTGAAAGATGAAGGGGAGATTCTAAGCAAGATATTCTAAGCAAAAAATGCAAGATATTTTGGAACCTATGAAGTCCAAAGTAGCAGCTGGCACCCAAACATAGGAGAAGGTATCAAAAAGGCGCCTATCTCCCCTCTGAACTATAAGCTGAAGGAGGAGAAGGGGACAAGGGGATGTCTGACCTCAGGAATGTGCATGGTTTCCACCAAGCCACCTTGGCTGTGGCTGTTGGACAGCTCAAATTCACAGAAGTGGTGAAGGGGATCTGTGTGGCCTGCTTCTGGCTGCTGACCTGAGACAGCCCGATTCTCACTGCTTTATGGACACTTTTTTTTGTCATTTAGCAGGGTGCCTAACAGCACAGACATTTTCAGTAACGTCTTTGACAGCAGTGCCAGCAGCTTGCTGGCTTCATGAAAAGCTTCCTCACCAGGTAGACAGTGGCGAGGGCTGAGCGGACTGTGGGGCTTGTGCCACTTTCTGTCCCTGGCTCTGCCCCTTTTCCAAACATCAGAGCTCCGAGCAGGAAGACAAGACTGGTTAGATTCTGACCGAGTGGGTCAGGACCTCAAGGGCAAACTGCTCCCAGCCTCTCTGTGTACGTGGATTGCCTGATGGCCCAGATAGTAAGGGTGGTGCTGAGCAGGCAGACGCCTTGCTCGGTCCACCTAGATGCATCTCCTTGGCCAGGATGAACAAAGCCATCTGTGTCTGTGGTCGGCTCTTCACAGACTTTTTCCAAAGGTCTGGGCCAGGGCAGGACTCTGCTAAAGTGGAGCCTGTGAGCCTGATGGGTCCGAGATGAGGAACTGTCTGTCCTAGGATGACCACTGTCACATCTTGATGTCACACAGTGGGGTCTGGAGGGAGCCTGGGGGTGGGGTGGATAAATAGTGTGATGTTTTATTCTGCAACAAGTCCCATGCTGTATAAAATACGGTTTCCTGAACTCCCCACTGAGGTGCTTTGTGCAGCGGTCCCCAAAGCCCAGAGGTACAGTCCAGTTTCTTGGGACTCAGTGGTGAGTGGGGTGAGCATGGGGCTCCTCCTGCCTGGCCAGGCCTTCTTGGTGGGGCTGCCACACCAGCCCCTGACTCAGCCAACTCAGGACTGCACATGCATTGCTTCCCAGCCGGGCTCGGAGAGAAGTTTGAATTTTAAAATGTGGGTATCCTGGGAGAATGAGGAGCCAGAGACACGACTGCGCCGAGGTGCCCTTACTCGTACCTTAACCTCACACTGCCTGTCTGCCAAAAGATGAGTCTTTGCTAACAAAAAGAGCAGAGTTTTCCTGGAATGTCATCATTTTGAAAAGAATTCTAAGAACTGTGGGCTTGAACCTTGAGATTGTAAATGTTTGCTCTGCTTACTGCCAAACGTTGGTGTTTGCTCACTTAAAGCTGTGAACTGTGGTTTCCGGAGGAGGCTGATTGGATTCTCAGGACCAGAGCTCCCCGGCCTTGAGGTTAGCTCCAGGATGTGGGGATGGATGTGGCTGGAGGTGTTGCTCCTGGATAGAAAAAGTAAGCGGGGTCTGAACAGATGAGCTTACAGGACACAGGCGCTCCCTGCTCCTGGGCCCTGCTCCTGCTCCTGCTGCCACTGGGTAAGGTAGACACGGGGTCTCATCCCTGCCTGGTTTCATTTTGTGTTTTCATTCACTATGCAGAGGCCATTGTTCTGCTATGATGATCCTGGATGTCTGGTCTGAGGCCCACCAGAAGGAACATCTTCTTGGAACTCTCCTGGCTGAACAGAACCAGGGAGGGAAGGGCACTCAGACATGACTGGCCAGGTCCTGGGAACTCAACAGCCCTTCGTGACGCAATGTCCTGAGATTCCAGGCCAGAAACACGGTCGTCTGACTCAGGGGAGTGTCCCTCTGTCACTGCGACCAGTTGCCAATCAGAGCTGGCCAGGTGTCCCAGAAGACAGCAAGTGCCAATGAGCTTTTTTTGAAAACATCCCATATAGCTTTTGCTTCTCCTAGTAAAGCCCCAGCCTTGCCCTGGTGCCTCAGCCACCCCAGAGGCTGCCTGGCCTGCGACAGTGTCCTCTGTCTCAGTCCTGTCCATTATCCCCAGGTAAAATGTTTCTATACGGAGGCTTAGCTTTGTGTTTTGTTTACCTAGACAACACCAATGGAGGACACATTGCATCTCCAAATGACAAAAAGGGACAAAATGCAGGAATCTGGGTCATGCTGGCAGAATATTACCTAGAATTTAAAAAATTGCAAAACATGGAAGGAAACTTCATTTTTGAAAAATAAGTCTTGGGCACTGGAAATGGAATGGTGTTCACTATGTATCAGTCATAAAATGTGCTTCTAATGGCCACAGTGTGATGGACAGCTGCTCTTACTTCCATTTACGGGTCAGCACGTGGTAGGAATTGAACCCAGGGCCTTGTGCAGGCTAAACACATCGCCACCGAGCTGCAGACTTAGCTGCAGCTTCTGTTACTTTAAGATAGATAAAATAAAGACAATGTAGATTTTAAAATTCATACCTGAAAGTACTGATCTACTTGAGAAATTATCCCAAAGGACTGGAAGAAGAGTGGGTGTCCGCAGTGTGTGTGTGTGCACCTAAGGCTGTGCATAGAGGTATGGTTGGCCCTCCAACATCTTTGAACCAAAAGCATTTTAGAAACTGTGTCTATAGTGACCACAGGCAGAGCCTTTTCCTTGCTATT